AGGCCTGGTCGAGGACCGGGCCGCGGGGACACTAAAAGCCCCGAAATCATCTCAGATAACCTCAAGATAACCTCAAGGTCATCAACAGGAACTCAAGTGAACAGAGCCGTCACATCAAAACTCATAAGTTCAAAGTCAAAATTTAAATTACAAAAAGACAACTTGTTAACCAAGTCCGAGTTGTTTGTTATGTGTGAGAGTTGGAAATGGAACCCTACTGCCGGAGACAAGACTTGGACAAGCCATTTGGAAGTCAGTATATGCCACAGATAGAACAGAACTAATAATAGTCTTGCAGGATTATTGGGTCTGTTGTTTTAATGAGATCATATAGATATGGTAGGGAAGGGGAACGACTTAAAAACTTAGGATTCAACGCCTTATCGTTCTTGAACAAGGTTTTAAAAAAAAGTTTTGTTAAAATGCGCAATAACGTTTTCAGTCGGGTCACTATTAACCAGTAAGTAAGTGTCTCTGTCATCTAATAACAGGTTCATTTTTTGGACGTAGTCATCCTTGTCCATGATGGCAACAGCATTGATATTATCAGCCTTTGTGATGTGTTGGGAGTTATCTTTTTATGAGGGTTTTGAACGCTTGAATTAACCTATCTGGACAATTAGGAACTGTACTCTTAATTAAGTAAAGACCCGTACACCAAACCTTTGCAAATCTCACTATATTTTTCCAGATTGCTAAAACCTTTGGCAATGTCTACATAATTCACATCCATATTCGATACGGAAAACCTCAGACTAACCAAGAGCAGTTATCGTATCATTATCCGGTTGTTTACTGGAGAGATTTACAACAAAGTCATTGTTGGAGTGTTTGTTCCAATCACTTTGCTGAATACGCCTGTTCAATCTTGAATCAAATTTATTACTCACGTCCTTGTAGGCAGATCTCATAGAGGTGTAACACTAACCCATCATCGGGCGGCTCCATTCTGATGGTAGAGCTTGAAGAAATGAATGCTTACGGCTGTTCAACACCTTAAAACATTCACTTACTTCTAATTTAAGTAAACCAATATTTTTCTCAAACTTTAAACGGAAATATTATGAAACGGTCGGTCAGATAATTTAAGTACACTGTTGAAGGATAGGGAGCGGGGAAGCATTTGTTCACTGAGACATTTTCTAAGAAAACGAAGACGGAGGTTTAAAGAGTGAGAAGTAATACCACATTGGATACCTGTGGCTCATTTGGGTACTAAAGTTTCCACCCGTGTCCCCTTGTTCGTGTACCACCCGTGCTTAACAGTTTATCTTTATCTACCCTGTCAATTCCTCTGTGAATTTTATATTTAGTGATCATTATGCCCGAAACGCTTTGCGTAATAGTGGCTTTAGGCATTGTATGTACTAGCTCTACCTATAAGTCAAACAATCCTTGTAAATATTTATTGTATGTATGTACCTTACCTAAATAAAATTGTATTGTATTGTATTGTATCATGTTTCCCCCAACTCTTCTGTCTTCCAGTGTTGTGAGGTTTATTAGTTACAGTAATCTTTCCTCGTAGCTCATACCCCTCAGCTCGGGGACCAGCTTGGTGGCATACCTCTGAACATTTTCTAACTTCCTTTTGTTTGACTAGATGTGGACTCCAGGTTGGAACCGCATATTCCAGTATTGGTCTGACATAGGAGGTATATAAGATTCTGAACGATTCCTTACACAAGTTCAAGAAGGCAGTTCTTATGTTCGCAGGTCTAGAATACGCCACTGCCTTTTGATGTCTATGATATCTAAAGCCAGTTCCTACGTTGACCAGCCAGAGGGAAACAGGAGGCTGGGCTCATATTTTGCATTCAATTCTCCTCTGTCTCCGAGGAGGCTTAGCTGGACTTACCCCTCCTTGGTTAAGATTTGGCATTAGAATTGAAAAAATGCAAACAGCATTAGTCCCGTAAAAAGTTTAAAATTATCTTCAGATATTAATTGTTTCAAGTTCCTTACTAAATTTAAGAAGCTAAGAAATACAGAAGTTTTGTACCAGAATCATTGACTCTTGTTTTGGTATATTCAGTATGATATGCTCAGTCAAGGACTTGGATCAACGTTTCGTAATTTGTTAAAGCATCAATGAAGTAGAAAATGACAAGAGAAATCTGCAATACTTAAAGTACCGGGAGAAGAGACAGAACACGACGCAGACTATGTCAAACATAACTCACAACAAACTATTTTAAAACTATGTAAGTGCATTTCATATATTTATATTAAACTTAACTATAGGAGTTCAGTTCATTGGATACAAAATATCCAATGAAAACAATCCAGTTGTTTAGTCCAGATCTTGCTAAATTATGACAATAAAGAAAATAATTCTATCGTAGTGAGACGTTTAGAGAGTTGGAGAGGTGAGGCGCGGGTGGGAGGAGGGTGAGGTGGTGGCGAGGCGCGGGTGTGAGGAGGGTGAGGTAGAGGCGAGAACCCGTCCTCTTAAAAATAACGTCACTTTTGGCTCGTATGCGCACTATGGCTAAATTTGGACGTAATTTGAAATGAAATCGACTCACAAAAGTGACGATCTGTTCCGTTTTCTGTTTGAATCGTCCGGCTTACTCGGCCAGCTTAGAAAAGGAAACTTTCCATTAACGTTTTTCATAACGTTTTGAAAACTTTATGAGAATTTCCTGCCCACCTAACCTATCAGAGGACCCTTAACTTACTGTTGTTGAAAAAAAATCCAAAATTTATTTTCATTTTTTTTTCATTTTCAAATTACGTCCAAATTCGGCCATACGGGTAAACGGCCAAAAGCGACGTACTTTTTAAGAGGACAGGCTAGAGGCGAGGCGCGGGTGTGAGGAGGGAGAGGTAGAGGCGAGGCGCGGATGTGACGAGGGTGAGGTGGAGGCGAGGCGCGGATGTGACGAGGGTGAGGTGGAGGCGAGGCGCGGATGTGACGAGGGTGAGGTGGAGGCGAGGCGCGGATGTGACGAGGGTGAGGTGGAGGCGAGGCGCGGATGTGACGAGGGTGAGGTGGAGGCGAGGCGCGGATGTGACGAGGGTGAGGTGGAGGCGAAGCGCGGATGTGACGAGGGTGAGGTGGAGGCGAGGCGCGGATGTGACGAGGGTGAGGTGGAGGCGAGGCGCGGATGTGACGAGGGTGAGGTGGAGGCGAGGCGCGGATGTGACGAGGGTGAGGTGGAGGCGAGGCGCGGATGTGACGAGGGTGAAGTGGAGGCGCGTCACTCACCTTGGCCACGTGAAGACTTGAGGCGCGGCACACCTTGCTGACCAGGGTAACATTGGAGCAGGAAGACCTCTCCTCATCCTGACGGTGACTCAGCAGCGGCTGCGACTCCTGCTGGCCGGCTGGCGGCTGTTGTTGGTGATCTTGGTGTGGGTGGCGGCAGCGGGAGGCGAGGCGGGTGTTCCAGCGCAGGTACCAGTGTTGCTGGGCCATGTAGGCCACCTGGTCCTGGTGCCGCTCAAGCCGACAGTGGAACAGGTCAGAGAGGAGGGTGATGGCGGCGTGTGTGCTTGAGTCGTTGGCTCGCAACACCTTGATCTTCCACTGGTGCAGCGGCTCGTAGCTGCAACACCATCAACACTGTCATCAACACCTCTACAACACCCACTGTCACAACACTCCCATCAACACCTCTACAACACCCACGGTCACAACACTGTCATCAACACCTCTACATCACCCACGGTCACAACACTGTCATCAACACCTCTACAACACCCACGGTCACAACACTCATCAACACCTCTACAACACCCACGGTCACAACACTCATCAACACCTCTACAACACCCACTGTCACAACACTCCCATCAACACCTCTACAACACCCACGGTCACAACACTGCCATCAACACCTCAACATCACCCACGGTCACAACACTGTCATCAACACCTCTACAACACCCACGGTCACAACACTCCCATCAACACCTCTACATCACCACACGGTCACAACACTCATCAACACCTCTACAATACCCACGGTCACAACACTGTCATCAACACCCACGGTCACAACACTCATCAACACCTCTACAACACCCACGGTCACAACACTCATCAACAACCTCTACAACACCCACGGTCACAACACTGTCATCAACACCCACGGTCACAACACTCATCAACACCTCTACAACACCCACGGTCACAACACTCATCAACACCTCTACAACACCCACGGTCACAACACTCATCAACACCTCTACAACACCCACGGTCACAACACTGTCATCAACACCCACGGTCACAACACTCATCAACACCTCTACAACACCCACGGTCACAACACTGTCATCAACACCCACGGTCACAACACTCATCAACACCTCTACAACACCCACGGTCACAACACTGTCATCAACACCCACGGTCACAAACACTCATCAACACCTCTACAACACCCACGGTCACAACACTCATCAACACCTCTACAACACCCACGGTCACAACACTGTCATCAACACCCACGGTCACAACACTCATCAACACCTCTACAACACCCACGGTCACAACACTGTCATCAACACCTCTACAACACCCACGGACGCAACACTCATCAACACCTCTACAACACCCACGGTCACAACACTCATCAACACCTCTACACCACCCACGGTCACAACACTCATCAACACCTCTACAACACCCATGGTCACAACACTCATCAACACCTCTACACCACCCACGGACGCAACACTCATCAACACCTCTACAACACCCACGGTCACAACACTGTCATCAACACCCACGGTCACAACACTCATCAACACCTCTACAACACCACGGTCACAACACTCATCAACACCTCTACAACACCCACGGTCACAACACTGTCATCAACACCTCTACAACACCCACGGACGCAACACTCATCAACACCTCTACAACACCCACGGTCACAACACTCATCAACACCTCTACACCACCCACGGTCACAACACTCATCAACACCTCTACAACACCCATGGTCACAACACTCATCAATACCTCTACACCACCACGGACGCAACACTCATCAACACCTCTACAACACCCACGGTCACAACACTGTCATCAACACCCACGGTCACAACACTCATCAACACCTCTACAACACCCACGGTCACAACACTCATCAACACCTCTACAACACCCACGGTCACAACACTGTCATCAACACCCACGGTCACAACACTCATCAACACCTCTACAACACCCACGGTCACAACACTGTCATCAACACCCACGGTCACAACACTCATCAACACCTCTACAACACCCACGGTCACAACACTCATCAACACCTCTACAACACCCACGGTCACAACACTGTCATCACACCCACGGTCACAACACTCATCAACACCTCTACAACACCCACGGTCACAACACTGTCATCAACACCTCTACAACACCCACGGACGCAACACTCATCAACACCTCTACAACACCACGGTCACAACACTCATCAACACCTCTACAACACCCACGGTCACAACACTGTCATCAACACCCACGGTCACAACACTGTCATCAACACCCACGGTCACAACACTGTCATCAACACCCACGGTCACAACACTGTCATCAACACCCACGGTCACAACACTGTCATCAACACCCACGGTCACAACACTGTCATCAACACCCACGGTCACAACACTCATCAACACCTCTACAACACCCACGGTCACAACACTGTCATCAACACCTCTACAACACCCACGGACGCAACACTCATCAACACCTCTACAACACCCACGGTCACAACACTCATCAACACCTCTACACCACCCACGGACGCAACACTCATCAACACCTCTACAACACCCACGGTCACAACACTCATCAACACCTCTACAACACCCACGGTCACAACACTGTCATCAACACCTCTACAACACCCACGGACGCAACACTCATCAACACCTCTACAACACCCACGGTCACAACACTCATCAACACCTCTACACCACCCACGGACGCAACACTCATCAACACCTCTACACCACCCACGGACGCAACACTCATCAACACCTCTACAACACCCACGGACGCAACACTCATCAACACCTCTACAACACCCACGGTCACAACACTGTCATCAACACCTCTACAACACCCACGGACGCAACACTCATCAACACCTCTACAACACCCACGGACTCAACACTCATCAACACCTCTACACCACCCACGGACGCAACACTCATCAACACCTCTACACCACCCACGGACGCAACACTCATCAACACCTCTACACCACCCACGGACGCAACACTCATCAACACCTCTACAACACCCACGGTCACAACACTGTCATCAACACCTCTACAACACCCACGGACGCAACACTCATCAACACCTCTACAACACCCACGGTCACAACACTCATCAACACCTCTACACCACCCACGGACGCAACACTCATCAACACCTCTACAACACCCACGGTCACAACACTCATCAACACCTCTACAACACCCACGGTCACAACACTCATCAACACCTCTACACCACCCACGGACGCAACACTCATCAACACCTCTACAACACCCACGGTCACAACACTGTCATCAACACCTCTACAACAGCCACGGACGCAACACTCATCAACACCTCTACAACACCCACGGTCACAACACTCATCAACACCTCTACACCACCCACGGACGCAACACTCATCAACACCTCTACAACACCCACGGTCACAACACTGTCATCAACACCTCTACAACACCCACGGACGCAACACTCATCAACACCTCTACAACACCCACGGTCACAACACTGTCATCAACACCTCTACAACACCCACGGTCACAACACTGTCATCAACACCTCTACAACACCCACGGACGCAACACTCATCAACACCTCTACAACACCCACGGTCACAACACTGTCATCAACACCTCTACAACACCCACGGTCACAACACTGTCATCAACACCTCTACAACACCCACGGTCACAACACTCATCAACACCTCTACACCACCCACGGTCACAACACTGTCATCAACCCTCTACAACACCCACGGACGCAACACTCATCAACACCTCTACACCACCCACGGACGCAACACTCATCAACACCTCTACAACACCCACGGTCACAACACTGTCATCAACACCTCTACAACACCCACGGACGCAACACTCATCAACACCTCTACACCACCCACGGACGCAACACTCATCAACACCTCTACAACACCCACGGACGCAACACTCATCAACACCTCTACAACACCCACGGTCACAACACTGTCATCAACACCTCTACAACACCCACGGTCACAACACTGTCATCAACACCTCTACAACACCCACGGTCACAACACTGTCATCAACACCTCTACAACACCCACGGACGCAACACTCATCAACACCTCTACAACACCCACGGTCACAACACTCATCAACACCTCTACACCACCCACGGACGCAACACTCATCAACACCTCTACACCACCCACGGACGCAAACACTCATCAACACCTCTACAACACCCACGGTCACAACACTCATCAACACCTCTACACCACCCACGGACGCAACACTCATCAACACCTCTACAACACCCACGGACGCAACACTCATCAACACCTCTACAGCACCCACGGTCACAACACTCATCAACACCTCTACAACACCACGGACGCAACACTCATCAACACCTCTACAACACCCACGGTCACAACACTCATCAACACCTCTACAACACCCACGGACGCAACACTCATCAACACCTCTACAACACCCACGGACGCAACACTCATCAACACCTCTACAACACCCACGGACGCAACACTGTCATCAACACCTCTACAACACCCACGGACGCAACACTCATCAACACCTCTACAACACCCACGGACGCAACACTGTCATCACACCTCTACAACACCCACGGACGCAACACTCATCAACACCTCTACATCACCCACGGTCACAACACTGTCATCAACACCTCTACAACACCCACGGACGCAGCACTCATCAACACCTCTACAACACCCACGGACGCAACACTGTCATCAACACCTCTACAACACCCACGGACGCAACACTCATCAACACCTCTACAACACCCACGGTCACAACACTGTCATCAACACCTCTACAACACCCACGGTCACAGCACTGTCATCAACACCTCTACATCACCCACGGTCACAGCACTGTCATCAACACCTCTACAACACCCACGGACGCAACACTGTCATCAACACCTCTACAACACCCACGGTCACAACACTGTCATCAACACCTCTACAACACCCACGGACGCAACACTGTCATCAACACCTCTACAACACCCACGGTCACAACACTGTCATCAACACCTCTACAACACCCACGGACGCAACACTCATCAACACCTCTACAACACCCACGGACGCAACACTCATCAACACCTCTACAACACCCACGGACACAACACTCATCAACACCTCTACAACACCCACGGTCACAACACTGTCATCAACACCTCTACAAACACCACGGTCACAACACTGTCATCAACACCTCTACAACACCCACGGACGCAACACTCATCAACACCTCTACAACACCCACGGACGCAACACTCATCAACACCTCTACAACACCCACGGACACAACACTCATCAACACCTCTACATCACCTGTGAGGAAACTGACCAGTGAGATTGTTTTTTTGTTTATATTAATTTGTATAGTAATTTATATTTTACGTTAATTTATATTTTTCGATAGCAAACTGTTTGACGTTTGAAGTGGACTGTATGATTTAGAATCCCACAAATCGCTTCCTTACACATTCTGGGGGGTTATAGTTTATTTATGTATAGTCATCAATTTAAATTATTTGTTAGTAGACATTCACTACAGTATTAGACTACATATATTATTAACTAAAATGGGAGGCCTTATCTGTATTGCTGTTATATCCTAGGCAACCAGATATGAACATGTATTAACACGCCAGTCAATACACTTTGTATTTATAATGCGTTTCAGATGTAGATATGATAGAGCCCAATAGGCTCAGGAATCTGTACACCTGTTGATTGACGGTTGAGAGGCGGGACCAAAGAGCCAGAGCTCAACCCCCGCAAGCACAACTAGGTGAGTACAACTAGGTGAGTACAACTAGGTGAGTACTTTATGGACGACGCTGCCCTCAACTCATGTACTGGAGTACAAGGTAACTAGATTTCATTCTTCTTCCTTTTCCCCTTCAATTACACCTGTCAATGTGCACTCACAAATAATAGCAGTAATCCTAAATATGACAGCTATATCAGGGGAAATATTAATATGTTGATTGAATAAAAGTTAAATAATATTTACCCTGTTTTGTGTCTCGATACGCATCCTAACCGGTTCGTCTTAATATATCTACATTACACTGATCCGGAAGGAAAGATAAAAGGTTTTGGAATTAGGATACTTCCCTTGATAATAGACGAAGTTGTGTTGATAATGGGAGCACTTTACAACCCATAACACTGTTGTTCAAAGGATAAATTATTGGAGCTAAATTTGCCCCAGCGAGACACGTTAAAAAAAATGGCGACTGATCCATCCAGCGTCCTGTCCAGATGTGTCAAGAAGTGGTTTTAAGGCCTACATTTACTCTATTTTGGCACTGATAATTAAGTTTGTTAACGGGAAATATTTTTATGATGTTTACAGTCCAAAGACTGATGTATTAAGGATGTTTCCCATTATTAGCTGGTGAATTTAATAGCGACATGTGGCAATGATATCCCTTGTTTTCTACTGAGGAAACTTCTTCACCTCTACACCACCCATGGTCACAACACCTCTACAACACCCATGGTCACAACACCTCTACAACACCCATGGTCACAACACTGTCATCAACACCTCTACACCACCCATGGACACAACACCTCATCACAACTCTTGGTCACAACACTGTCATCAAACACCTCTACACCACCCATGGACACAACACCTCTACAACACCCATGGTCACAACACTGTCATCAACACCTATACACCACCCATGGACACAACACCTCTACAACACCCATGGTCACAACACTGTCATCAACACTCTACACCACCCATAGTCACAACACCTCAACACAACTCTGGTCACAACACTGTCATCAACACCTCTACACCACCCATGGACACAACACCTCAACACAACTCTTGGTCACAACACTGTCATCAACACTCTACACCACCCATGGACACAACACCTCAACACAACTCTTGGTCACAACACTGTCATCAATAAATTTCAAAGTGGTCTGTATTTAAAGTTATCCTGCTGGTGTTTAAACTGTACACAAGTTTGGGGGGGGGGGATATACATAGTCTATACCACAAATAGTGGATATTAATAAACTACAATGTTATTGTTAGTACTACAGCTAAAATGGGTTAATTAAGTGGTAATCATTAGCCTCAGCTGTTAAGTTGTTAGTGTGAGAGCTGGTCCTCTAACTTCAGACTGTGGTTTACCACATGTGATCCGTCCTGGACCTGTATTAATGGCGGCTCTTGGTCATTGTTAAGAGCAAGTAAGCGTATGTACAGGTTCATGCAGGCGTTAACAGCTCTCTGTGATTTCCTCAGTTCGTCAAAGGTTACCTGCCGAGTATTTACACCATAACAATTGCACAACAATATTATAATCTATAAATGTTACATACATGACTTAGGATTGTGTAATGTATAAAACCAGGCTCAACCTTTTGGGTGTTCACCCTACTATATAACCGAGTTGAAATTTATCTAATGTTATTAGGCCTTCTAATGAAAGGTAATTAGTTCAAACCGGTTATAAAGACACTCCTCGATGTAGGTGAGGTCGCTGAGGCAGATTCACTGTTGGTTGACTTCTAATTTCGAGTCTTTGTAGTGATACGTGTCGCAGACCTCTCGAGGAGCTCTTTATTTACATTCAATGAACACCTGAGAGACATTCGAAATATGTGTATAATACTGAACCCCACATTGTTTGAGTTAGGAAAACACTATTTGACAAAATTGATACTGTTCTTAAAAGATTCCCCCATTTTGCACCCACAAGATAACGTAAGCTTTTAAGGTTGACAGATGTTAATCTTCTTGTTTGAGGAGCTGTCACTTGAGACAGTTAAGGAAGTCCCAGCTGTGTCTGGGTACAAGTGACAGGATGAACAACCCAGCGGGTTTTCTTCCTTTTAGGGAGTGTTGTACTTGCTGCTATGGCGGTATGCCCACTCACAAGATGAGTGGCGCTGCCCAATAAACTCGCCCTCGGGGCAAAATTAAAAAAAAAAAAATCAATGACGAGCCGACTGCCTCCTCCTGGCATCTCCAAAAATATTGTTCTAATTCTGCTTTTTTTTTACATGAGGAGGGAGCCTTTAATTTGATGGTACATTTATTAGGTTAAAGCATTTAATCACTTTTCAATTAATTATAATGCCTAGACTGTTAGTTTAAGGATATGATGATGAGTTAAATTTTTGTTTTGATGTTGTGACGGATATCCCATTCTCTATAATACTTCTATGACTAACTAATATAACTAGTATAACCGTGTTTGCTGGTCATATGGGGTGTTAGTAATCTACTATGTTAGTGTCGGATTTCCGTCAATACCACCCACGGACACAGCACTGTCATCAACACCTCTACACCACCCAAGGTCACAACACTGTTCTTCCCCAGCTCCTTCCCTCCTCACCTCCATCCCTCTCAACCTCCATCCCTACCCTCCTCCATCCTAAATGTAGTTATTGTCCTTGTATATAAGACACAGGAGGCAAAACCTCAGCAGTTTAAAGACCAACTAATGAAAATAGAACACTGCTTGGAAAACCTCACAATCCAGCCCCGAACATCATCCTGCTTGGGGACTTCAACCTACGGCACCTGAAATGGAAGCACCTGGCTAATACAGTAATATCAGAAAGAATATCAAGAAGTAGCCTAAATGAACAGGCACATGCAAAGACCTGCTACAGATGTACGACAGGTTTGTCTTAAATCAGCAAATAGTAGAACCAACTAGGAAGGAGAACACGCTGGACCTCATTTTCACCAATAATGATAATTGATCAGGAACATTATGATAACAAATACCAGGTACTCAGATCAACACTTAATTGAAGTTCTGACAAGAATGGGAAATAG